GACGAAAAAAATGAGCAACACAAAATAAACGATTACTAGGGGATGCGATCGAAAGTCCATCATTCGGTACATGACGAGAACCCAACCTTCTTGTGTAGAACTTTCATAGACTGTTAAAATACTTAGCAGGAAGTCCCCGAAATAATCTTTATCCTTCTCCTCAAAATCCACAAAAACACAGCTAAACCCTTGTGGACAGAAATATCCTGTTTCGCCGGTAACATTGTTGCAGCGATGGTCAGTCAATAACAGATCGTTGTATGTCAGATTATTCAAATCAGCTCCATTCTTGACACAGTAATAGTTTTTGCGTCCGAATAATTGAACTCCAATAATCGAACCGAACGCCATAAAATACAACAAGAACAGAGTGACGGCCCAGATTTGCCGTTTACAGCGTCGAGCCACCGACTTCGGCAAGCTGATTGTAATAAGCACATTGAAGAACCGAACTATTATTAACGCTCTTGGGGCTCTTGGAACCGAAAATGCTACGTAATTATCAGGGATATAGCCAGAAATTTCAATAATTTGTAGCAAGATCGATAGCATTATAAGGAAAACCATGCTTGCATTAAAAATAGACTGTGGTTTCTTGAAGTAAGCCTTCTGTTTTCGCCACAGACCCCACATGTTTATCTGCGCGATCATTTCAGTGGTAAAAACAACAGCGACCACAATGTCTAGGCCAAGAGTTATGTATCTCAGCGAATTGTTATGTTTAAATGTTTCTGGCGAATTCATGGCTGTAGAAGTCAAACTGACAAGCGCACATACTTGTACTAGACGCTGAAACCAACGAGTTTTTACCCACCAAGTTCGCGATAATTCGTCTTCGTTCTCTTCATCGTCGTCCTCAGATTCGGCGTAGAGCGCTTGCCGAAGGGGCCATAAGGTTTGCGATGAAGAATGATGGTCAGACTCAATAACTAAGGACTGTCGTCTTGCTTCCATTTTGCAGCGGAAATGAAATTCGGTTGTAGTTTTACGAGAATTTCCGACATCCAAGATCGGATTTCCAAAGGGCTACGGAGTTATCCGACTAATCAACGATCCTATATTGGATCTCATAAATGTTTGAATAATTAATATTGATTACCGATTAAGATCATTATGAATTAAAAAAAAAAAATTTAAAAGCTGATTTCGTGTTGTTCTCGAAATATTGCGCGTGGAATTTAATAAACTGTTGATCGCGATCTGGTATCGATTCCCTGTGATAATCGCCCGATTGCACCACCATGCCATTATTTACGCAAGGCTCTGCAAGGTACGAAAAGATCTGCTGGCTGAAGAGTTTATAGCACTTTAGTCACGAGAAGACAAACACCTTTACTAATACTATTTTTTACGCTACAATCATGTTGAGTTCAAGGGCAAAGATGCTGGCTCGCCTGATATCATCCAAGTTTGCTCCTGCTGCAAGCTGCTCACGGTCGTATGTTAGCGGTGCGTACAGCACAAGCGATCGGAGCGAATTTCTTTTCACGTCTGAGTCCGTTTGCCGTGGGCATTCTGATAAAATGTGCGATCAAATATCTGATGCGATTTTAGACGCGCACTTGGAACAAGACCCGTATGCCAAAGTCGCCTGCGAGACTGCAACCAAAACTGGAATGATTATGGCTTTTGGCGAGATTACTTCTGGAGCGAGAGTCGACTATCAAAGCGTTATACGGAACACTGTTAAAGAAATCGGATACGATGATTCTTCCAAAGGTTTTGATTACAAAACATGCAGTGTCTTGCTTTCGATTGAAGAGCAAGTTGGCGAGATAGCTCGGAGCGTGTACTTGGACAAGAAAGAATTAGAGATTGGGGCAGGTGACCAGGGCTTGATGTTTGGATATGCAACAGATGAAACTGAAGAACTAATGCCCTTAACAACGGTACTCTCCCACAAACTGACGAAACAACTAACAGATTGCAGGGTGGATGGAACTTTGCCTTGGCTTAGACCCGATGGCAAGACACAAGTGACTGTGGAATACAGTTTGCAAGGTGGAGCCTGCATACCACAGCGAGTTCACACTGTATTGATCTCCAGCCAACATGCAGAGGGTGTACCTGTGGAAGAAATTCGACACCATTTAAAGGAGACTATCATAAAAGGTGTCATTCCTGAACAATACCTTGATGAGAACACCATTTTCCATCTGCTACCTTCAGGGATCTTTCTCTATGGGGGTCCCATGGGAGACGCTGGTCTCACAGGCCGCAAAATTATCGTAGACACCTATGGTGGGTGGGGTGCACACGGGGGTGGTGCATTCTCAGGCAAAGATGCCACAAAAGTGGATAGGTCAGCAAGTTATGCCTGCAGGTGGATTGCAAAGTCATTGGTTGCAGCAAAGCTTTGCAAGCGTGTTTTAGTGCAAGTAGCCTATGCAATTGGTATTGCTGAGCCTTTGTCTGTGTCCGTTTTCAGCTATGGCAGTGGCGAAATTCCTGATAATGAACTTTTAAAGATTATCCTGAATAACTTTGATCTCAGACCTGGAGCAATCATCAGGGATCTAGATTTGCGTAAACCCATTTTCAAAGAAACTAGTGTCTTTGGCCATTTCAAGCCTGGCTTCTCATGGGAAGTGCCAAAGACACTGGAGATTTGATTCTTACACAAACCTAAGGAAAATATTTAAAGAAGAAACAATAGAAAATACCAATAGGTCAAAATAAAATTTTGCCCATAGTTAATTTTAAAAGAACACAAAGTGAGACAGTAATGTTACCAATGTTACAGTATTCAACATTTTGTCATAGTCACAAATAAGCCAAGCAGAGTGTGCATTTTGTTGTTACTATTTCACTAGGCCATTTACCCAATGGCTGAGTATTCTTTATGCAAAAAAATTGAAGTAGGTGGGTCATCATGTCTCTCTGATTTCCCAATAGTTTTATTTCTTTAGCCCAGGGCAAACTGAAAATAGTATATAAAACATGTTCTTCTTTAAACTCAACTCCTCTATAAATACCAGAGAAAATGTATCACTTTTAGTGGTTAAGCTCATCAACAATAGACAAGCATTGGGAAGGTAGCATCAATATGTGGCAACACAAGAGAAATGGTCTGACCCCTTTCATCACATGAAACTAGAATATAGAGCACTACCAGTCAGAAATATAAGCTCATAGTTTTTGTACTACTTAATCAAAGTTTTACTTAGAATATTTCAACAGAAGAAAGCTCTATTATCACTCCTTTCTCTAAAAGATACGCCATGACAATTTTTAGAAAACTATAATTTTGCACTCGGTGTAGTAAATTAGTGTTTTTAAAGTTATTCATCAACAAGATTAAATTTCTATTGGGAAACTTTGAAAAAGTATGTCTTAATTTTATGGGTTGAAACTGAAGGCTTTTGTTGCTTCCAAAAGATTTGGACAGGAAATAAGGCACCTCTGTACCCCACCCTTTCCACCTGCCACGGGATCAATAGAGCTTTGGCAGTAATCATAATGTACACATTAACAGTAATCCATAATTTAATTTACATATCCACATAATTGTCATGATACATTACATAAACTATGTTAATTAGTACAAAGTATATTCTTGTTGTCTCTCAAATCTCATTCAACAACCTTGAAACAACATATTTTCACAGTGTAAGGATATTACTTGTTGTTGTTGTGTAAATTATATAGCTAGGATATAAGATATTTTTTACATTTTTAAGCAAACATTTTTCATCTGAGATTTTTCTTGAAATAAATATAAAATATAAATTCAATTGTTAGCTCTGAGAATTTGGCGGGACATCAGCAGGATTCACAACTTGACAAATTATGCATAATGTATCCTGAATGGTTTTCATTCTCATTTAAATTGATGATTTTACATAAGATCAGTGATCTGCATTGATCTGGTCCACGTATTAGCCCTGCCCTTTAATTTCTCAAACCCTTGATTTCTCGCAACTTCTAAAGTTGTTTACCTTCGATTTGCTTCCCTGTAATTTTACCAGCGATATCTTCTGCATTCTTTTTTCTCAAAAATGATATTTTTTTGTTTCCCTTGGAGGTTTGAGAAATTTAAATACCACTATATTGAGAGATAGAGGGTCAAGGTACACATCTAAATATTCCTTTGCATTTTTTTTTGTAAACTCAAATAAATTAATTCAGCAATTGATTAAATTCAAATTAATTTAAATTTTTGTAGGAGGGTTAGGAGTGTTTGCCTAGATAATTCGCAATTTTTTTTGTAAATAAATGTGTAATAAAAGATGATGAAATAAATAGGGGGAAAAAACGTTGTTGTAACGTGGTTTTGTTTCCACCCCCTACCCCAGCCCCCCGCTTTTTACTGGCCAGCAGACAAAACTGTCACGCATGCTCATATGCGTGATGTTATGGCTTTGCAAGAGAGAGACAGTGAAGTCATCGACATTTCTGTGGAGAGTCGACGAAAATGACACAATGGTTTCCTGTTTTCGTAGAAACAATCATTTGAAATGAAGGAAGAGAGTCCCTCAGGGAAAGAACGCTACCATTCAAAGGGAAAATGATGAAAACTTGGCTGTTTTGTCGTTGTTTTCTTGGGCATTCCTGCCGAAGACATATTCAACTACATTTTTGCAGAATATCCTTTGAACTGCTTGGCATTTGCTCATTTTAACGACAGTGAAAAGCACCAAGAAGGCAGAAACGTCGTCAAAATGTTGCATGTGTTTCATGTCGACCTGGGGACGATATATACCTTCGAAATGGAACTGGCAATGGAAAGGTGAGAAAAAAACATAATGTTGTACATCAGGTACAGTGACATTTGCATTACGTGCTCACCATAACGTAACGTGACTTGACAATTTGATTGTATTACGAAATGATATCTGCTCCTTGTTATTCCTTGTTGTTTGCTTGCTCTACTGACAGAATGGGCTCGATTTGTCCCAAACGATCAATTGAACAATATTGCAATATGGCATATATGACACTAAGTACGACATGCGTGAATAAGTAATTTGGATGCTTAATAAGTGTTTGTTTTAATTTATGAATACACAAGGAATAAAGAGGATATGCAGCGTCTATTATGAAGTGAAATGTCGAGACTGTACAGTAAGAAAGAATAATTATGGGGGAGCTGTAAGGCAGCCAAGTTCAAAGCTAGAAAAAAAATTCAAATTTCATTTTAAAAAATACTGTAAGCCAAACAGTGCCATACAAAAGGAATGCCAAGCAATGGTGATATGATAGGGTTTCACCTACAGAATTGTTGCCCAAACAGACAAGCCCAAAGCATTTGTTATACTGTTGTTAAACTCAATGAGCATTTGAGAACATTTTAAAAGCAGACTTCCTTTTGCTCTGAAACACATGGAGTGTTTTTATGACTTCATAAACAGAATAATGTGCTGCATGTTAAAATACACTTCGTTGCTTTGAAATATAATAGCATTCTCAGAAATTGTATTTTATTCTGAGTTCTTGTAGTAGGTGTTAAGCCCATGCTCAACCAACGAGAGCTAGCCATTCAAACAGCAAACTTCCTTTGATCTATAGTAACAAGGAAATGTATGCAGTTTGTTGCGAGCATGAGACAGTTAAAAAATTGTGAGTCCTCAACCCAAGTTGATCCCGTGATCTTCTGCATGCTTGTCAGACATTCTGAAAACAGAGTTTCAGGAGGTTTGTGGTTCCCTGGGTCATTTAAGGCTGGTTTTGCAATAGTGACAGAGTCAGAGTCAGAGTCAGAGCTGGAGTCATAGACAGAGTCAAGAGAGCTTACGACCTAGTGGAAATCGAAAATCAGAGTTGTAAGTGGAGTCATAAGCTTGATGGAATCGGAGTCGGAAGAATCAGGACATTTCCATTTCTTCCAATTCCTTTTATGACTCTGTCACTTATGATCAAATGAAAAGTAGATTGTCGGAATTGAAAGCAGAAGCGGAAAAACCAACCAATCACAAGGCCTGGAATTGAACGCTGTGATTGGTTTATTCTCCCGCGTCTGCTTCCAACTCCGACAATCTAGTTTTCACTATAAGCAACGCAGTCTTAAGCGGAATGGGTGTTCAGCTTCCAACTCCATCAGTTTTATTTTCACTAGGTCATAATGCTCTATGCTTCTGATTACAACTCCGACTACGACTTCATCGCTAGTGAAAACCAGCCTTTACAAGATCAAGAGAGACCTTTAGATTGGATTACAATTACCAGATTGAGTAATATTAATGTGATTTTCAAATTTTGAACCAGTGGTGATTCCAGAGCCCTTGCCCTTGATGGTTTGAGGTTGAGAGGGTAGCTCGTAGAATGGGATGGTTTTGTGACATGATAATGTGAATCATGCAAACTAGAATTGAGAAGTCATACTTATACTCGATCTTGTACTCGTACACAAATTGTAAGTCACCTAGTATTTATTTAGTTATATGTCTGGCATACTTCCAGGATTAGTCATCAAAAGTATTAAGTATGATGACAAATAAGAACTTGGTGCATTGTGCTGTTCATCTTCTATCAGGGTAAATAAGAGTAGATTGAGTGCAGGCAGGCTGTGTATCTGACATGATCAATGTGAACTGTTTAACAGTGTCCAGGTGCTTATGAGTACAGTAGCTTCTGTGACGGGGATTCCTGAGGACAAGCAAGTTCTTTTGATATCTAATGGTGAAGCGCTGGATCCGACAGAGAGAGTATGCAGTTATAGTAGTGCTGGAACTGTGAGTAGCATGTGAATAAACAGTACTATTGGTACTAAAATAAAAAGCTCTCATCGGGTCAAACAAGCAAACAACCATGTTTTTTATTTGCAAATATTATTGTATTCATTTTAATTTTTGCTACTATAGCTATCTCAATTTGCTAATTGATTTTCTGTTTTCAAAACAAGAAATTTTGTATGGAAATGCCAGTATGGTCATTCTCAAATAAATTTATTATATTATGCTCTGTAGTCTTCCACAGTTCCTAAAAGTTATTGCGACCTAAATGATGTACAACCTTTTTGCCATCAGTTGTATATTGGCTATGATTTGCTAAAATTGTCTTACAGGCCTTTAGTACCACCTTGCTGGTTTTCTTGCATTTTTTTTATTTTGTAAAATTCTAATGTTATGTTGCCTTGTTAGGATACAAATCCGATCTTTCTGTTCAGTAAATCTACCATTGAATCATCCATTCCTCCATCACCCAGCCTCAACTTAGGATCAGGTAAGTGCAGTGCACCAGTGTAAGTTTTATTTTTTTAGTACGATTAAGTGGGCAGTTGAAAATTCGCCTCAAGCTACAGTTTTGTTTGTATTTCAATTTTGTGTTAAAATTTTGTTTTAAAAATATTTTAAATTACTCTGCTGTTAATTTTCTTCTCTTCCTCTGTTAAGCCCTAACTCAATTGTGGTACAATTTGAAGTTGTGTACAGACTTGTGTTGGGTATCCAATGCTTGTAGATTGATAAAAGATGTTTTAGTACATGAGGTCCAATGAAATTACTTGGGCCATATACACATTGATGCTTAGAATGATAGAAAAATATTTGAATGGGTGCACCAAATAAGGTCCTTACTGACAGATGATGTAACATCAAACTCTCTTAGTTTGTCTTTTTTTAGAGAATACAAGGCAATTCGGAAGGAGAATATTGCAATTTACAAGAAGTCATTTAGGACTTTTTTTCTTATTCTCGGCACCCCTACAATTTTGTTTCTTTTCCTTGCAGAAGAAAATTTAAAGGAGCAAGTTGACAAATCTTTCAATTTACCGCCTACATATGAAACTCTTGTATCCAGAGCTCAGCTAGCCGCGGTAAGTTTTTCTGACTCGTAGAAATTACACAATAGCATGGAAGGCATTCTTTTGCTACTGAATGAGAGGAATCAGAACTTATTTATGGTGGTTTTTTCAGGACTTGAATTCTTTACGTGAAACAATGCGTTAGTGAGCTCAGTGAGTGATAGGTTTTATTGTTTTCTTGAAGAAACATGTTTGTTCTCTGATACAACTGAGCACTGTGAAGACGCTAATCTTGATATTGTTCACTTAAGATTCTGTGGAAAATTAGTATACAATTTTTTGTCCAATTTTTAGGACTTCCATTCACTAGCAGTGGAAATTGCAGAAAACTGTGAAAATCTAGTTTTCGAGCAAAAACTGCAACAGAAGGGTTGGGCAGCAGTTGTGGCCAACTTGGAAAGTACTGCAAGGTATTAGAAAAGAAACTGTATTCTACTGTTTTAGCTTGTATTTCTGGACACTCTTGGTCATATGCAACCACTACATACCTGGGCAGACTTGAAAATGAAAAAGGGAAGTTCTGGTATGATTTCCTTTTCCATTTTCAACAACCACAAAAAAACATCAATAGTTGTGGAAAAAAGTATGCCAAAGATTGATGGAGGTGCAAACTTTCACTTTCATATGTTTGAAAAACTAAAATATGTAATCTATTTTTTGTTTTTTTTTTAGGAAAATGAATTTAAAGGGAAATTTCTCATTTGTATGAGAAAATGAAAAGTGATGCTTGAAAAATTAGACCTTTTTCTCTTGTGACTTCCAATTGCTCCTTGAATGAGATAATAAATGTATTGTGTTGTAATTGTGAGAAAAAGAATTGGTTCATGCTCAGCACATGTATATCAAGTTATGGATGCATGTGGGAAGTTTGTATAGCACAAGAGAAGTGTAAGAGTTGCTTGACATGTAGCTAAGAACAACTCTAGCTTCTTGAGTGCTCTTCAAACTTCCTAGTAAGTAGATCCATAACTTGATCCATAGATCCATATGCACAGCTAGAGGCATGAACCAATTCTTTTATTATAAAATTATAACATAGTGACAACAATTTATTTGTGATTGACGATAAAGTTCTCACAATGATTGGATGGGGAGGCTGGCTCTTTTTCTTGTGAGACTGATGATGGGATAGAATTTCTTATTAAAAATCTATGGTGTGATTATTTCACATGCTATTTGATTATTGCTGACTGACAGCTCAATAATACTTGTTTACAGTGAGTTTAAAGCACGATCAAGTAGTGTTCATCAAGTTTATTCTGAGTTTCTGGATTCCAGGACAAGATACATAGAGCTACTTGACAGGTATACATGTAAATACCATTTTCTATTGTTTCCCAGTTCTTTTAAATTTTAATGGAAAATTATGTTTTTAATCTATCCCCTTGCCCTGGCAAAGCTGAAGATTCAGATTGTGTTCATTCTACTAGGTTCAAACAGATGTTACCACTGTTAGCCAAGGTACCTGTCCTTCCATGTCTTTTAACAAGACAACTGTTCCAAGACAGACAACAGGGCATGTTTAGTCTCCTGGATTGGATAAGTGCACAGGTAAGTCAATCATTTTATCACAACTCACTGACTTTGACTATTGATTTAAAGCATTCCCAGGGAAGGGGGGATTCCCATTTGAAAAGGTCAGGCATGCTTGCCATCTTGTGTAGGGTTGTAAATCATGAATTTTGGTCTTGGTCTCTTTGGGTGTTCATGACAAAATGCCACTACTTTTTGCCTTCAAGGTACTTTTAAGGTTGCACTGGAAGAATGCTGTCTGTTTCAAAGCTTTTTTTAGGGATCAAATAAAGTTCCAGCGATGCCCAGATTGGTCTCTTTTAGGGGTTAAATTGCATGTCACTGAAAGGCCCAGTATATAATGTCCACTAAAACAATTACTCAAACCATTTGCTCTAAGTGGTAGTCTGCTTGTTTGAGTATAGTTAAAGCGTGATGTTGTTGTTGTTGTTTTTTCGCAGGATAACAAGAACAGCCTTCAAGATATGGTAAAACAGTGCATTGAGGCAGTTGAGCAGGTACATAAATATTATTGAATCAAGCCTGTATGCCAAGAATAATTCTGGAAAGTGCAAAATGCTCCCATCTATTAAATCTGGTGTCCGCAGTTGTGAGGTTGGCAATATTATCTGGTTTCATGCAAACTATTGGCTTTCTTTTTTTAAGTGGCATTGATTACAGTTGTTGCCTGATTTTTGGATAGCAGTGATGGCGCAGTGCTTGCCTCCCACCAATCAGAATGTGAACGGGATTCAATTCTGTCCCAGTGCCATATATGGGTTGAGTTTGTCATTGGTTCTTTCCTTGCTCCAAGGGTTTTTTCTTGTGGTTCTCTGGTTCTCCTTCCTCCATGAAAACCATCATCTCCAAATGTCAAATCACCTAAGGCTGATGTGGTTTCCTCTCTAAATATTGTAGTTTATTTTGATTTATTTATTTTAATATTCGACATTACGCAAGGTAATCTTTTTTAAAACTGCAGTTATGAACCTCCCTGTTATTAATTTTCAGTTTGATGAAACACATCTGACTGAGATAACAAAAGAAGTTAATGAGGTTTTAGGTAAGCAAAAACTGGCTCTTCCCTATGTACCATTTAAATATTTTGCCAACTTAATAGCACTGTCTTGGTGATTGCCAAGTATACGGATCTAAATAAAGCTTGTTGTATTAATTAGGTCATTCAAGCATCATGTATTCAGGTTGAGTGCAACTTAGACTCTTATGCAGTGTCATGCTCCCATACTGACTTGGTCTCTTAAACAACTGAGTTATATATTGGAGGTAAACAGCAACAGATTGCCACCAAAGTGCACATCAGTTCATTTTGTGTTACCAATTTCCACTTTAAACAACATAGACAGAATCATATTGTTGCTCAGAATCAAGGAAACCATTTTTAAGACACTTGCATTTTTCAGAATTGTATACAGGGGTGTGCTCCTTTACCCTGCTAGGAAGAAAACCGCACAGCTTTTAATTTCTCACTCTTTGGGAACGCATCAGTTTGAATGCTCTGCATATCAAAGGGGTTCATGAGAGCTTTTTCGGAGGCCAAAGAAAGTGACTGGAACAAGGTGGTTGTGTTAAGGAAGAGGCCATGTGACAGGGTTCTATGGTCAAATCTCTTAATACAGTGGAACCCAGCCTCATGGCCACCTTGTTATTACAGACACTTTATTCTGGCCTAAACAAAAGCTCAGTCAGTCATTTTCTTCAGTGAACCATGTTTAATACGTTTAATATGGCCACCCTGTTAATATGGCCAGATTTCCGTGGCTCGTTGGTAACTGCGTTAACAGGGTTCCATTGTATAGACAAGGTGGACACCCCCAAGGGCGGAGATGGCTGTTTCACTGGTTCCAACTGAATTTCACTTGTTTCTCTGTAACTAACAGTTTCTGTAGGGTGCAACTTAGGGCTGGTCCCAAATGTGTCTGTTTTGGAGAGAGAGATGACAGTAACGTATATTGTGGTGGTGGGGAATTATGTGTCATTGGCATTGTTCTCTTCTCTTTGCAACAGAATCTCTCGATAAGACAAACATGAAAGAAATCAAAGGACTGGATGAAAGACTAGCAGGACTGCAACAGATTCTCCAGAATGTAAAAACCTTGACACAGTCTCAAGCTGACATGTCACAAGGCTTTCAGTACAACCAAACTCGAGCTAAAAATGTGGGTGACACTTCAGTACTTCCTGATCTGTGTGCTAGTCATCAAAAGCAGCTCATGATGTTGACAAAGAATCACTCACATTTAAGGTTAGTTCAGTCATTTATTAGGTTGCCATTTAAAATTAGAGCCTTCAGTAATGGGAGATCCTCAAACTCTAAGATCAAATGGTTCCATTTCAAGCCCTAGCTGGGGTCATCGCAAAACGTTACTGGGCGACTCTCATTTACTCTCATATTGCTTGTTTACATCCACACCCAGGTCTAGATCTGCATTTAATGCTGGCATAACCTGCAATGGAATAGCATTCCATCCAGTGGGGAGTGCCTTGGAATACTCACAGTCACTTAATAGCTACTCCCCCTAAAAAAAATTATAAGAAACCTGTATAAGCTCAGGTAGGACACCTTACAGCTGCAGACAGACATTTTATTTCAATACAGAATTTCTCCAAATTTTATAGTGAATTGGTTTCCCAGAAAGTTACCCATTTGCCAAGTTTCCCTTTACGTGTTTAGCCTCTAGGCTCAAAAAGCTTTAATTTATTAATGACTTTTTTACTTGAAAGACGTTTATCTTCAAGTGAGGTCAAAATTTAATTTAGTAATACCAAGCAGAGTAAGTTAGAGAACTGGCCAGAACTGATATTATTATATTTACTTTTTTAAGGGATATAAGAAAAAAATGTGCAAGAGCCAAAGATGAGCTGTCTGCTAACCTCCACACCAGATTAAGGTAAACAAAAAACAAACAAACAAAACTTAGTATGCATTATAACAACTTGTTGCTTTCCATTGTGGTTTCAAATGTTTCCAACAGTGACATTTGAATTCTTCTAAACTCATTCAATCATTTGTATCAGACAAAAATAAAGCCTAAACCATTTTAAAGGTTAATTTAATGCAACTCAAGGATTGTCTTTCAATGTGGGCTTATTCTCAAAAAGGTACCTCATTTAAAAATAACCTTTATATCAAACTGCAAAAAATAAAATGTTTTCAGTACTTGTTTCCTTTTGTTACCAAGGTATTATAACATGTTTCTGTTGAAAACAATTCCCCAGTCTGATAAAAAATAATGTATGCTTAGGTTACTCTTACAGGGGTTTTGTAAAGGGCTGGGCACTGGGCAAATTGACCAACTGTGAGGACGATTTTGCCTGCCTGACTTGACCATCTCAAAGATAGTTTTTCTTATAAAGAAGTTCAGTTCAAAACGTTTTGCCTGGCTGTGAAAACCAGTCGTCCTCCTGCTGAAAACGTATGAAACCCCTGCTATTTGTTAAATCTCTTTATATAGATGCCAAAGGGTCAGAACTGAGTGTCCATTTTGTTGAGGTGTCTGTTCTATAGTGGTGTCTGTATTGTTGAGATGTTGATAAGGAGAGGTTTAACTGTACATGCTACTGGTTATGAGCACTCTGTAGTTATATCAAGAGTCAACTTGCTCTTGACAGTCTATTTCAGTTTCCAAATCTTTTATTTTAACAGGTGGATCATGTACATTGAGAAGAAAATATGTGAATGTGATGGAACCATTATTATGTATCATGAAAATATCAGACGAATCAAACGAAGGTAAGGGAATTAATGAGAAACAAGAAAGTTCTCAATTCAATAACCATTTCTGGTGTTGAAGAAAGCTTTTAGCACAGTGGTCAAACATAGTTTTTGAAGCATCACAAGCATGCTCAGAAAAGCACTTGGTTTTAAAGGTCATGCGGTTAGAGTGCAATGCTGTGATACTTCCTGATTTGTAGTGGTGTAACAACTAATCAAATTTTCGATTAATCGCATTATGACCGTTCGGTTCAATTCACGATTCTTTGATTCCACATTTCAATTTTGGTTCGATTTTTTGCATACCATTCCCAAGGTGCCCTCAGTGAGTTGTTATTAATATTGTGAAATCACAATCCAGAACTATTTAAAATGTGCGTTTTTGATTGACGAGTAAAGACGTTTGCAGTTTTTGTGCCATTTTGTGTTGCTTGTTAAAAATGTTGCCTTTCTACCTCTCCTTGAGAATTTCCAAATAAGGCAAGCCATGTGCGACACGCTCATTGTATCAACAAATTGAGGGTTTAGGGTTGTATGTTGTTTACATTGTGTATCACGTTGTAAGAATTAAAAGACATTAATATTTTGGATAATCGCATCGAAATAATCAAAATCGAAAGGCAATGATCGAAATTGAATTGAATCGCAAGGAATATGAATCGTTAAACCCCTACTGATTTGTAGAGCATGGCTTTAGATGGCTGCACATCCAGAGAGACTTTCCATTCCCTCCCATTACAATAAAAATGTGTTGTGTCTCATTGAACAGATTTCTTTGGTTGCATGCTTATTTTTTCATTACTCGAACAACATGGGAGATTCAACCCCCAAAATTGCATGTTGATGAAATAGCCCTAGTGTATCCAATTGACTGTTACTCATGTACAAAAGACTAACAAGAATATTATTAGCACCTCTGTCATGGATCTCTGTTGAGCTAATGCTATCAATGTTAGCTGAACTAGGTTGAAGCCCAGATATCCCTCTAAAATGTGAAGAACTGGGTGTGTTTTTTGAAAGAAGTCTCTGCTAGCTGAGGCTAAAGTTATTGGTGCTAATTTTCTCTGTTAACTGGGTAGAGATACTTGTTGATTTGTTTTAGATTGGAAATCATTGAACAAGTAAATGAGGCACCACGTGTGTACATCTTAGCTGTGGCAGAAGTTGTAAGGAGGAGATCATTTTCTTCACAGTTTCATAAGGTAAGTTATCGACTGGCTGGTTGCAGGTTCAAGCCCCAGACTGGACCAACACTCAAGTTCCCAAAATAATTGAGGAGAATGTGCTACCTTTGTAAAATTTTACATTTGCTAACAGTTGGATGTTCAAGTCTTCTTGGATAAAGACTGTAAACAGTAGGCCCCATCTCCTGCATCTTCAGTGTTTCATGGTTAACAGGGGCTGTTAAAGAACCCACACACTTATCACAAAGAGTAGGGCACAGAGTTCCTGGTGTTGTGGTCTGGCCTTGTCTCATAGGTTGGTCCTTCACATAAGTTAAACCTCATTACAGCTTGCTGTGTCTATCAATTATTCGTGAAACCACTATAACTAAACCAGTTGACTTTGCAAGCAGTTTTTGCTTTTAACATTATGAACATTATTTGATTAGAAGTGTACCAACATCTTTGTTTTAATATTTTTTCCTCTCTAGTGGGCTAGCAAGTTATGTGAGGGCTCAACACAGGCAAGAACAGAAGAAACTGCAAAGAGAGAAGAATTTGAGTTGCATTTTGGTTAGCAATCTACATAGTGTCATACTTAATATATACTGTGCAAGCACTTGTGAAAAAAAGTTGAACACAAGTTTAAAACCGAATCAAGCTTTGAATTTCCGTTTTTTTGTAAGCATGAAAACTTATTAGGGCCTTTAAGGTAGAGACATTTTTTTATAATACTTCTGTCAGTAAATAAAATACTTCTAGGAATGTTAGAGGTTTGCCAATATCCTTGTGGAGGGACCTGGGTGGAGGGGGGGGGGCTACTCCCAGGAAAGTTGGGTGGGGATAAGCAGCCCACTTCCCAAAACCCTTACCCTATTTATGACCAAAACCTGCGATTTTTGCCGCCCTATTTATGACTGTTGTAGCTGGCACAGTTGCCTAAAATATAAGTTATCAAGGGCTTCTGTTGACCGTCTTATTGATAATGATGAAAAAGTAGCTTCTTCTAAGAAACATACCCAGTTCAAGACTGGAGTGCGAAGGCCATACCTTATTTATGACCAAAACAGCTGAAAAACCCTACCCTTTGTTGCTGCACATACCTATATAACCCACATAACGGAGTACCCCCCCCCCCCC